AGACTTGGGTCATATCAGGTCAGCAGGTAAGCTCACGCCCTTGCCCAGGAACGAGTTCACGGCCTCTTGGGGATTCACACAGCCATTGAAAAATTCATACCAAATTAATCACTATGAATAAGAGCATGTTATACTACAGTAATGCAAATGTCAATTGTTATGCACTGAAATGTAAAGACCTTCCAGTTTATGGGTAGCAATTAGTCTAAAAAATGAATGAATATGAAGTGTAAATTGTTAGAAAATTATAATTATTGTAACAGAAAATGTAATAAGTAAAAATAAATCTACAAAAACTCAAATGTTTGCCAAGTACAGGGACTCAACCACATGTTCATGCACACAACATATGGAGCAGAGGAGGCAGAGCCGTAGGGAAGGGGAGGAGGCAGAGCCGTAGGGAAGGGGAGGAGGCAGAGCCGTAGGGAAGGGGAGGAGGCAGAGATGTAGGGAAGGGGAGGAGGCAGAGCCGTAGGGAAGGGGAGGAGGCAGAGATGTAGGGAAGGGGAGGAGGCAGAGCCGTAGGGAAGGGGAGGAGGCAGAGCCGTAGGGAAGGGAAGGAGACAGAGATGTAGGGAAGGGAAGGAGGCAGAGCCGTAGGGAAGGGGAGGAGGCAGAGATGTAGGGAAGGGGAGGAGGCAGAGCCGTAGGGAAGGGGAGGAGGCAGAGCCGTAGGGAAGGGAAGGAGACAGAGATGTAGGGAAGGGAAGGAGGCAGAGCCGTAGGGAAGGGGAGGAGGCAGAGCCGTAGGGAAGGGGAGGAGGCAGAGCCGTAGGGAAGGGAAGGAGACAGAGATGTAGGGAAGGGGAGGAGGCAGAGCCGTAGGGAAGGGGAGGAGGCAGAGCCGTAGGGAAGGGAAGGAGACAGAGATGTAGGGAAGGGAAGGAGGCAGAGCCGTAGGGAAGGGGAGGAGGCAGAGCCGTAGGGAAGGGGAGGAGGCAGAGCCGTAGGGAAGGGAAGGAGACAGAGATGTAGGGAAGGGAAGGAGGCAGAGCCGTAGGGAAGGGGAGGAGGCAGAGCCGTAGGGAAGGGGAGGAGGCAGAGCCGTAGGGAAGGGGAGGAGGCAGAGATGTAGGGAAGGGAAGGAGGCAGAGATGTAGGGAAGGGAAGGAGGCAGAGCCGTAGGGAAGGGAAGGAGACAGAGATGTAGGGAAGGGAAGGAGGCAGAGCCGTAGAGAAGGGGAGGAGGCAGAGCCGTAGGGAAGGGAAGGAGGCAGAGCCGTAGGGAAGGGGAGGAGACACAGATGTAGGGAAGGGAAGGAGGCAGAGATGTAGGGAAGGGAAGGAGGCAGAGCCGTAGGGAAGGGGAGGAGGCAGAGCCGTAGGGAAGGGGAGGAGGCAGAGATGTAGGGAAGGGAAGGAGGCAGAGCCGTAGGGAAGGGGAGGAGGCAGAGCCGTAGGGAAGGGGAGGAGGCAGAGATGTAGGGAAGGGGAGGAGGCAGAGCCGTAGGGAAGGGGAGGAGGCAGAGATGTAGGGAAGGGGAGGAGGCAGAGATGTAGGGAAGGGGAGGAGACAGAGCCGTAGGGAAGGGGAGGAGGCAGAGCCGTAGGGAAGGGAAGGAGGCAGAGCCGTAGGGAAGGGGAGGAGACACAGATGTAGGGAAGGGAAGGAGGCAGAGCCGTAGGGAAGGGAAGGAGGCAGAGCCGTAGGGAAGGGGGAGGCAGACACGTAGGGAAGGGGAGAAGGCAGAGATGGATGTAGGGAAGGGGAGGAGGCAGAGCCGTAGGGAAGGGGAGGAGGCAGAGCCGTAGGGAAGGGGAGGAGACAGAGATGTAGGGAAGGGAAGGAGGCAGAGCCGTAGGGAAGGGGAGGAGGCAGAGATGTAGGGAAGGGGAGGAGGCAGAGATGTAAGGAAGGGGAGGAGGCAGAGATGTAGGGAAGACAGAATATTAAAAATTGTCAGAAATATTGTTGAGTGAGATATATTAAAGGTGTGTGTGTGGTTGTAAATAATATACTGTACATATTATATATATATATATATATATATATATATATATATATATATATATATATATATATATATATATATATATATATATATATATATATATATATATGACAATATCAGACCACGAAGGAAGGATTAAGACAGGTATTTTCTGAAGCACTTTCGTATCTAATAATATATCTTCAGAAAAGTATAAAATACAAAAGTACTAAATATTAAATATTAATAAATACAAAAGTACTTAAGGAAATTCCTGTCTTAACCCTTCCTTCATGGTCTGATATTGTCGCATTGTTCATCACCTGTTAATTTCTTTGTGATTTACACACACACACACATATATATATATATATATATATATATATATATATATATATATATATATATATATATAACTATTACTGAACATTTATGTGAAAAAGCCAGACATACCTCCCCAAGCAGGTCGTGAACTTACCAAGTCTTGCCTGCCTTCCTTGCCCACTGGTGCAGCTCATCCCATCCACTCGTGCAAACCCAAAACCCACCACAAAGTCACACACAAACCACCTGTTGGGCAGCACAGGTAACACACAGCTGGTCCCCCAGCCCACCTATCTAATGATCCCAGAGTAACCAACTGCAGCTCGTGAACTCATCAGCAGGCGAGTGGTGTACAAGTTTTTTTTTTTTTTTTAAGTGGTGATGGGCAGAGAAGGACAAGGCTGGAGGGAGGCTGCACCAGTGGGCCGAATAGCCACCGGTGACTAAGCTGTTCCCCCTGTGAACCAATCACTGGGAACTAGCTGGAAGCGAGAGACTTTTAGGCATTGTTAGCAAAGGGGCGTGTGCTACGCGCTAACCTGACCAAGACTTTAGTGTCATGCCGGGTAGAGGAGCAGTGACAGTAAGAGAGTCAAGCAGAAATCAAACACAATATCATGCATTCTACAGACTTATTATTTAAAAATATTCTTATACATAGGCCAATATTTTGTATCAGTAAAAGGACTGAAATACACAGGCAAATTGTACATATACTTGATACCCAGACCAATGTTGAAAAGCACTAAAAGCTAGCAAATATAATAATGATGAACAGAATCATAGGATTACATAACAGACAAAAAGATGAGAGCAGTCCAACAAAAACTGATGCCTGACAGAGCAATGTATAGTGAATAAGCCCGAGCAAGGGCCTGGGCGCCCCTGGCTACAGAGAGGAAGCATTACAGAGGTACATCAACATGACCCATACCTAGTTACCATCACATCAAGTTGGGACGTGAGCATGGTACAATAGTGCTACAATAGTACTGGGAATGCTGCGGAGTACACGGAGACAGCACCGCTCTATGGCACTTGCCACCACCCAACCAACTCCACCTACGCCCTTGCGAAAGCTAAACCCGCCCGCTACGCCTACCATGTCTTTTGCACATGCAGATTTATTTGCAATAACCATTTGCAAAGCGAGACTATCACAAGATGTGAGTTGGTGGGCGTGGCGTGGGCGTAGCATGGGCGTGGTGTGGGTATGGCATAGGTTGCGAAAACTGTACATTATTCTTGACTCACATAAGACAATCGTCTCTGGCACAATCCCTGTCTGCCCCCTCTCTATCCTAAGACCTGAATCTGCTACTGCCACTACTGCTGCTGCTTTAGGTTGCAGCTTCACCACCACCATCTCCCACATGACCCTAACAGCGGCAGCAGTGGCAAACATGGACATGAGAATGTGTCTGGAGAGTCTGGAGGTGGGACTGTAGAGGGGGAAGAGAGGGGAAGGCAGGGGGAGGGTAGAGTGCAGTCTCCGTGCATCACAAATCACAAACACCGTGTAGAGCTGGGCACCATGCAGGCGTCATCCCCCGGTTACCAGCGGACATGCAGCAAGTCTGCTCTGCTGTGTCATTTAAAAGCAAAAAGACTTGGAAGTCTTGTTAAAACTGACAACTATTGTGTCTCAAATATGTGATAAAAGCTAAAATCATTAATGTCTAAAACTTCTAAAACAGGTACAATAACAAGTACAATGACAAATACATGTGCTACGTCAATTATCTAAAATCAAACTTAAAAGGCCAGTTAGTAAGTTACGCTGTGCCTGTAGGGGCACTGATAGATGTTAGTAGTGGCGTGACTAGAGTCCACTAGATGGTGGTCGTTGTCGTCCTGCTCGCTCACTGGCACTGAGCGGCGAGGGTAAAGAAGTAGACATATAGAGGCGGGAGACTTGCTCGTCAGCCGGGTACGCGCATGCACACACACTTTATGAAGTTTTCAGCCTCTTGTTCGGCTGCTCGCCCCCCTGAGCCAGCGAGTAGTGCGTGTTACTGGACAAAGCTGTGTACTGGGGTGGGTACAGGGAGGAAACAGGGTTTTGGTGCATCAAAATTGAGGGGGATACCAAGGGCATACTAGCACCAAGGCCACTCAAGCCAGCTATGCCACCCACAGTAGGGCCCATCCCTGCAGTCAAGCCACCTATGCCATGCATCATGCCTGGCAGCCCCATTCCTGCCATACTACTTGTCATAGCTGGAGACATCATTTGTTGGCTGCTAGAAGCATATGGTGAAACATTAATGTTGGGCATGTGTGATCCAATGCCATAGTTAAAACCTTGAATTGGTGCAGAATGCATCCCAGGGTGGGCAAAACCTAAAGAAGACAATGCCATAGGACCCATGATAGTTGGGGCAAGAGAATTGGGTGGCTTGAACTGTGGGCGTAGACCCTTACTGAGGGAGTAGCCCGTGTAAGAGAACACATTAACTGACGGCTGAGGCCCCACGGGTACTGGTGATGCCGGCACCAATTCCCCTCCCCCTGTGGAAGAGGATGAGGAGGTGGAGGAGGAAGAGTTTGTAGCCGTGATTGAGGTGGAATAAACGGCTTTACCAGAGGGGGAGTTAGTTGTGGTGGAGGTGGTGGAGGAAGAGGAGGTGGGGGGTTGCGCGGAGGAAGCAGCAGCAGCGTGGTTGTTAGCGGCGGTGGTGGTGGTGTCTTGGGTGTCGGCCTGGCCCCCCACCCCCGCCAGGGGTACACTCCCGCCATACTCACATGACACTGGCACAAAGCTCTGGCCGCCCAACTGCTGCATGAGGGCCTGTTGGTACGCTGCGCTCCCTGTCGGCTGGTACACAGGTACTCCAGACTTGTCTCCAGCTGGACGTTTGTAGGGTACCATCCCGGGAAAAGCCTGGAACATAGAGGTCCTTGAGCATCACATATCCTCATGCTGCTGATGCCCACCACTGACAATGGCACCCAGTCGTAGAGGGCCACATGCCCACATGATGCGTTACACCAGCAGCAAAAATGGCCACTCCAAAATCTTTGCGTGTTGGCCCACTGGCACTGTCTCACACGCGTCCAAACTCTCCCTACAAAGTTGATCTTCAAGGCAATTTCTCATGCATAAATGTAGCAAGTCATGTGAGTATATTTATGTAACTCAAATTTCTACAACATTAAGGGAAGTGCTGTGCGATGTATAGACAAAATTACAAAAACAAAAAATCCTACTGTAAGCTTAAAATTTGTGAAGAGTAGTGTCGGGAGGTTTGGAGCATGTGAGGGCAGTGAGCCAACACTGGATGTAATCATTATTGCTAATTAAGGATGATGGGACACTCACCACTATTGTGAATATCTATGACACAGAGAAAATAAATATTTGCATTAATTATACATATTCACTACTACTAACAATTGGCCAAACAAAAGAGGAATGATTTAGATACTGACTCGTCCAAAAAAGATAATGTTACATTGGACTGCTTGTATCATCGAAATTAATTTATGGCATAAGAGAACAAAGGTTTTCACTTTTATTGAATATGAGTGCAGATAAAAGCAGAATATTATAGTACAGTAACTCTAAATGACTATGGAATGGTAGAGAGAGATACACGAGACCAGGGGTGTCCCAATGGTTGGCTGTCAACCACTGACCATCTCGTGTGCTTGCTCACGGTCATGCCTTACATCTTCAATTTTTAATAGCTGCGCTGCCCAGGGGTTAGGTACCCCACAAAGTCATAAAATACACAATTATCATGCTATATGTGAACTGTGATCAGCCAGTTTTATGTGGCCCCCATAACCCGTTACATATTTCACATTTCGGGAAAACAAGCGGAGCTGCTCTTAGGCAATGACCTTCAGCGTGGAAGCACCGGATCCTGTTCTCACTACCCCGAAGAAAATCTTATTTTGAAAGAGATTTTGACTTGAAACCATCTGGAAGCAAGAGAACGAGAGCTAACATGAAAGCTTATGCCAGCACTGAGAACAGGATGACCTGTACGCCGACCCGAGTCCCTTCATACCACCAAGGTTGTGCTCCACATCCTCCTTTACTTGCATAAGTGCACACACACACACACATGATGAAATACAACAGTAAATCTGCATAGTATAAGTGATGGTATGAGGAAGGAAGCAGGTCTGGCGTAGTACTCAATGTGAAAAAATACAAGAGCGAGCCACTTTGCAAGATCATCGTCACACTTCTTGCAATGGGTGGTCTTCGGGAGCTTGCAGGTCTTCCCTGCAATCTAGACAAGAAATAACAGATTCCTACTTGATTCTCGGATGGCTAATACGTGAAATTTTATAAGAGCAAAAACTCCATTTTGGGGGGATGGGAAGAGGAGGCAATATAGATCACAATGGTAATATTTTATCTAGAATAAGAGATAGAGTGAAGGAGAAGGGGGGGGGGGAGGGAGGGCGGGGGAAGCACACTGACTGCAAGATCTGGAAGAGCAGATCAAACAAAAATCAAATCAAAGAAACTGGAGAAAAAATATAAAGATTTAAATAATAAATGTGGAACACAAATAGCGCGTATGGTAAGGAAGCAGCAGCAGCAGCAGCAGCAGCAGCAGCAGCAGCAGCAGCCACCAGGGACTAGTGACGGCCAGGGGAGCGTCAAGCAGGGATGGGGGGCGGAGGCTGGCGGTGCCGCGGCTATAGCACTCCACGACAAGCACTAATAGCATACACAACAGCATCACTGCTATAGTGGAATAGCAGTAGTTCTATTGGGGACCAAGTAATAGCCAATTAATGTGTGCCTTAAGCTTGATGTTGACAAGCATCTGGGAAGGGAAAGGGGGAGGGTAAAGTGTGGGGCAGATCATGCAAAAGTGACAGTACCGTCACTTGTGGCAAGGTGGAAGTGGGAGCGGTTATAGGTTGTGGTAGTGCTGGTAGTATTAGCAGTAATTTAGGTGGTAGTAGATGCTAGTAGTAGTAGTGGTGGTAACAATACTGGTCTCGGTAGTAATAGCTTTTTTAAATGCAGTTAAGGAAACAGCTGGGGAGGGGGAGGCCACAGAACTAGATACACGGAACTGATAAGTGTAGATTGTTGGGACAAAATTTTGCAACGGGCTCTGATCTTGCAAAACGGCAGCAGCTACACAGAACTGTCAACGACCAGGTCGGAGCAGGGCATGATGCTGACCTCGAGAGGCTCGGGAACACTGACCTTTCACCTTCACCGGGATCCCAACCCTGAGGGAATGTGGGCCAAGGAAGGTTTGGGACGGGGGGATGGGAGACGGGGAAAGAAAAGGGTTCACTTACGGGTTTTTTACATGTACTGATCCCAACCGTACAGAATATGGGGTCTTAAGAGGGTATGTGTACTTTAGAAAATGGTGCTAGTATACTTTAAGGTTAGGGGGGGAGGGGGGACTGTTACATGTGCTTTCGGTGACTTTGGAATGCCACTGTCAGACTGTGGGAGGGTTAGTGGAGTGATACATGTACTGGACCTCTGGGAAATGTCATGTGTTAAGGTTTTAATACATAGCCTTAGTTCATGGGTTGTAAAGTTAGGAGGCGGCGCCTTAACAACTCAAAACCTTAACTATTCTCCAGTAACCGTCTAGTTATGATAATTTATAATAATAATTATTTTACTATTAATTATATTATTATAATTGTACGGTTACTGGAGAATAGTTCGGGTTATGGCATATATTTTAATGTTTACAACAAGGTGTTGACAAGACTGATAAAAGGTAAAAGAGAAAGATAACTTATGTAGCTTTTTGCGTGCGTGCGTGTGTGTGTGTGGTGTGTGTGTGTGCGTGTGTGTGTTTAATAGCAGTACTACACACGTGGTGCTAAATTTGCATTTATGAATCAATTACATATATGGCTAAGCATCTGTTTACACGATACACTTGTCAGTTGTGGACATAAAATTAACGCAATTTACAAAGCACTTCCAGTACTGTCTGGCAAAAATATGAAAATGAGATTATAATACCACCATTTGCAATATGCAAATGACACAGAGTCATAATTTTGAAGAATAAGAATACTTTCAATTTATAAATGTCTCGAGTATATCATTTATACTTGAGGTCCACAAGTACAGTATTAATATTTTAATGAAATAATAAGGCTAAAGTACTGGGAATGTGTCACTGAAGTGAATGATAGATATTACATCTATAATATCTAGGTGATAAACTAGTATTATAAACGAGCTTAGAAGGAAGTAAAGGCAGAAAGTGATATAATTAGGGATGTATTGTATATAATTAGGAATGTATTGTATATAATTAGGGATGTATTGTATATAATTAGGGATGTATTGTATATAATTAGGGATGTATTGTATATAATTAGGGATGTATTGTATATAATTAGGGATGTATTGTATATAATTAGGGATGTATTGTATATAATTAGGGATGTATTGTATATAATTAGGGATGTATTGTATATAATTAGGGATGTATTGTATATAATTAGAGATGTATTGTATATAATTAGGGATGTATTGTATATAATTAGGGATGTATTGTATATAATTAGGGATGTATTGTATATAATTAGGGATGTATTGTATATAATTAGGGATGTATTGTATATAATTAGGGATGTATAGTGGGCCAAGAGGACCTTAACAAGGGGACCACTTCCCTGTCAGGAACTGTTCTCACTGATCATTACTCTCAAGACATTCGTCATTAAAAATCTATTCCATGTTTTAAAAGATGTCTTGACATATTTACCCAGTGTAATTTCCTAAAGTTGTGGGCTGGCAGAATAAAGATTTTTGCAGTACTCTGTTATTCTTAATGCAACTGTTGTGTGTCTCGTGATCTAATGGTTAATACAGCATATATGAATGCTACTGTGTTATTGTTTATAATATATATATATATATATATATATATATATATATATATATATATATATATATATATATATATATATAATATTGAGGTTTTTGGTTGTAAGGGCTGGATGCCTAATGAACTGGTTGTGTGTGTGTGTGTGTGTGTGTGTGTGTGTGTGTGTGGGGGGGAGAGGTGGAGCTCGTGTGTGTGTGTGGGGGGGAGAGGTGGAGCTCGTGTGTGTGTGTGGGGGGGGGAGGTGGAGCTGGTGTATGTGGGAGAGGCAGTCCGTAGTGTGAAGGTCAGTAGTAGGAGGAGTAAAGTGAGAGGTTGCATGGGCTGGCTAAGCAACATGAAGGCAACAGGTAGAACAAGAGACGATAGCCAAGCGTCACCAGCAGGGTGCGGGGCGCTGCAGCTAGAAGCTTAAGCTTTCACACAATGTATTGAAGCTTATAGAACGGTTGTGCTAAGGTACAGTGTTTTGGTGGGGAGGGTGTCTCTCTGTCTCTCTGTCTCTGTCTCTCTCTCTCTCTCTCTCTCTCTCTCTCTTGGTGTGATATATGTGACTCAATACATGACGTGAGAGAGTAGGGAGTGGGGGAGGGGGGAGTATGTGAGTGGTGGTGTTGTGTGTAGGGGGGGGGGGAGTGGATGTGAGAGCTAGTGGTGGTGTGTGTGGGGGGGGGGGAGTGTATGTGAGTGGTGGTGGTGGTGGGGGGGTGGATGTGAGTGGTGGTGGTGGGGGGGGGAGTGGATGTGAGTGGTGGTGGTGGGTGGTGGATGTGAGTGGTGGTGGTGGGGGGGAGTGGATGCGAGTGGTGGTGGTGGGTGGTGGATGTGAGTGGTGGTGGTGGGGGGGAGTGGATGCGAGTGGTGGTGGTGGTGGGGGTGGATGTGAGTGGTGGTGGGGGGAGTGGATGTGAGTGGTGGTGGTGGGGGGGGGGAGTGGATGTGAGTGGTGGTGGTGGGGGGGGAGTGGATGTGAGTGGTGGTGGGGGGGGAGTGGATGTGAGTGGTGGTGGGGGGGGGTGGATGTGAGTGGTGGTGGGGG